GTAGCCGAGTTCGGCATTGAATATTATTTGAAACAATTTATAGTTGTCAAAGGTGGCGGTAAGGGAAGTAGAGGCAAGAATGTAGCGGCAAGAGATGACCACCCTATTGTAAATGACCAATAGAATCCAATAAAAAATAAGTAATTGGTTTGAATTGGTTTGAAATGTGTACTGGCGCTATGAATCACCAATTCATTCTTGTTGAATTCCTATTGGTAATTTCCAATGAAGTCAGCGGCTTGGATTGGGAAATACCAATCCATGCCTATGCTTGTCTATTGGCTAAATCCAATAGAAATGCACATGGAATGAATTGGTAATTCATAGCGCCAAACCCATTCCAACCAATTAAAACCAATTATTTTTTTTAAATTTGGATTAGAAAATACCTACGAGTTTATTTTTCATTCAAAAATAATTTTAGATCCCAGAAGGATAACCGGGTAAAAACCAGAATTCATTTTTCACAGAAGAGACAAAAAATTTATTGTTACTGAGTAATTTTATTTCTTCTATTATTTTTTTTGTGATATATGTATTGATTCATATAACTTATCACAAAAAAGTAACTTATCACAAAAAAGTAATAAAAAATAAATAAAATTACTCGTATATAATCATTTTTTTGTCTTTCTTGCAAAGGATGTTTGTAGGCATGGTCAAAGTCGATATTGTTTATGTCAATTTTTTTTATTTTGTCCGCTGTGACAATCATTCTTACGCCATCGTCCCTAAACCTAAACATATATAAACATTTTTTAAGATATAAGTACACTACTATCACTAGGCACTTAACACAGAAATCGCCTAATAAAAAAAACCGCTAATAAACGGCGTCCAAAGACTTGTTGTTGTTTTTTCTTTATGATTGCGTCTCAACCTCGTTGATTTTGCGCAGCTACACGAGAGCCCTCTTGCGATATTTGTATTGTATTGGGAATAACCAATTAGCAGATTTTTCGAATTTTACACTGGGAATGCCCAATTGAATTCAATTGGAAATTACCTATACGTACCTTTATCCAATCGAAACCAATAAAAACCATTAGAATTCTAAATTGGACTTTTCCATCATGGAAAATACCAGTAAAAACCAATTTCTGTTTTATATCGCGCCCAATTAAATCCAGTAAGTCCAATTCAGACCCATTGATACCAACCAATACAATTGGTTTCTACAGCAATTAATCGGTCATTTACAACAGGGCATCTTTCATCTTTTCTTACCTCAACCGCTACTCCAGCCAATCACAGGGCAGTTTTCAGTTGGCAGCCTCGCCAGATGTCAAAAATGGGCACCGTCATTCGACTGTATTTAACGAACTGCAGTTCGTTAAATATACACGAATGATGGTGCACATTTTTGGCAGGCTCTTCATCAATCAGTTTCATTTTTTGTAATGGAAATGGCTTTTCTTAGCTCGTTCCCGATTTATTTCCCTCGTTTTATAGCGACGTACCTGACGACCCCTATAACGTACTTGAAACCGCCAGATGGCCCAGAAGCACAGCATTGTCCCCCCAACCCATATTTTCGTAGAAAACACTCCAAAATCCAGGAAAGCTTAACATTTTGCTAATAGAAAAAGGATTTTGAAGTCAAATTTTACAAACAAAATGACAATCTACATTAAAGTACGCATGCGCCACCAGTATCGCTATACCGCTACTAAACTATAAATTGCAGAAAGTGATACCGCTAACGCTACCTTTACCGCTGCCGCTACCTTTAAAACTATAAATCCAGCTTAATAGCAAATGCCTCTATCCATTTGTTAAAGTAATCCTTCGCAACCAGAATGTATTTGTTACCTCTATAAGTAACCGGAAACGGACCAGCAACAACAATTACCATTCTTTTAAAAGGCATGTTATATGTATATCTTTTATCTTGAGCGTGACCTAACCTAGGACTCCTCGGTTCTTTTGCGGTCTTAAAACTTCTGCATCTGCGGCACCATGCTTTTACGTTTTTTAAATAATTAAGCCAATAAAACCTTTTCCGGATATTTTTCATTGTCTTATTTACTCCAGGGTGTCTGTCAGAAACTCTGTTATAAATTATTTCCTATTTGTACAATCCTAATTGTTGGAACTAATAACTTACTTCAACTCGTCTTTTTATTGACACAATTTAATACTTATTTTAGTAGACCTTGTTACAGGTTACAACTTAAAAGTCAAACTTTATATAGTGTACAAAACTTTTGAGTAATTTAGGTACCTCAGCGAGCTAATTGTAGTGGCACCAGTGGCGGCTGGTGGATTTTGGGTATACCAATATCTCAATTATTAAATATGGGACCCACACTAAATTTATATGAGTTTATAATGACATTAAATAAACAAGTTCTGCGCAAGCAGAATTTAAATTGAAGTTTGCGAAAGAAAGATAACTTTTTGCTCGGCCGGTACGGCTTAATGGGGCCCCCAATAAATATAATATAAATTACAGACAAGTATATTATTTATCCAATTTGCAGTATTTTCTAAATATTTCTATGTTGTAGCTATCCTCAAATAGATTTTATCTACAATAAGAAGTTTTAAAAAGCTATAATAAGGACTTTGATTAATGGAAAACAAAGTGGCCGAAATAAAAAATGAAAGAATTATTATTAAGTTATTAAATTAAAATTAATTACCTTAACATAAAATTATGAATTATTTTTTTATTTAATATATAAATTTGATTCTTAAAAGAGTTTTTTATTTGTAAACTACCTTTTTAATGGCCAATAAATGGGCATTCATTGGGATTCCTTGCTTATTGGAATGTTATCATAGATTTGTTGCGAAAACGTTATTTCTACCAGGGATAAGTATATGACAAACACAACATTACCTAGCAATGTTCCGAAAATGATATCGCAGTAATCCTGCGCGAGCAAACTTGCAAATTTTTTTTATTTAAAATATTACACCAACATCCTTTTCGAATCTGTTTAAGTATTATATTGTATATAAAGCAATATTGATTTATCAATGTTGCAATATTTCGAAGGTGATATCGCAGTAATTGTGCACCTTAAAAGTTACGGGAATATTTTATTTTGAATATTACCTAAATATTATTTTTTATACTTGTTAAAATTGTTTTAAGAATATTATCTCAATGTTTGAATTGTAGCATTAGTACAACAATAATTAGAGGAATGTTTATATGCAATATTATATTACGCTTGCCAAAATGTTACATTTCAAAACAGCAATATTGCCCTAAACTTGTGCAATGTTGCATGCTCAGTGGGATCTTTTTATCAGCGTTGCCAACAGTTCTTAATAAAATTCCTGGCAAAAAATATCATCATTACTGGAAATTCCTGGCAAAGGGAATGAATGATTCCAAGAATTCTTAATTTTTACAATTTTTAGGTTATAAGCCAAAAAGCAAACTCATTTTCAACAAAAAAAAAATTATATGATTTATATTGGTTACTTGTTTTAAGCTGGATTTATAGTTTTAAAGGTAGCGGTAGCGGTAGCCGAGTTCGGCATTGATTATTATATGAAACAATTTATAGTTGTCAGAGGTAGCGGTAAGGGAGGTAGAGGCAAGAACGTAGCGGCAAGAAATGACCATCTTTCATCTTTTCTTACCTCAACCGCTACTCCAGCCAATCACACGGCAGTTTTCAGTTGGCAGTCTCGCCTTGTTAGTTTAGTTTTTATGCGAGGGGCAACCAGACTTGATAAATTGTCATAAATTGGCACCGTCATTTGTGTATTTAAAGAAGTGCTCTTGATCAGTCAGTTTTATTTTTTTTAATACTGGAAATGGCTTTTCTTAGCTCGTTCCCGATTTAATTCCCTCGTTTTATAGCGACGTCCTTGACGGGTTTATTATATAATATTTCGCACAACGCCATATGGCCCAGAAGCACAGCATTGTCCTCGCAATTCATGTTTTCATAGAAAACTTAACCTTTTGCTATTAAATTTTACAAACAAAATTACAATCTGCATCAAAGTACGCATGCGCCACCAATACCGCTACCGCTACTTTCTGAACTATAAATTGCAGAAAGGGATACCGCTACCGCTACCTTTACCTCTACCTTTACCGCTGCCTCTACCGTTACCTTTAAAACTATAAATCCAGCTTTAGTGTTTTTTTAACAAATTTTATAATTAAATTATAATTGTAATTATCTAAAAATTCGATGATTGGATAATTTTACGTAGAGATGCGCCACATACTTAAGCCCGCTGCACAAAAGCCCTGTAAAGGCTTATTTATGGAGTGCTGTTGAAAGATTCCCGTACGGGAATCTATAAATGGCACTACGATTTTCGTATTGTTCATCTTTTACGGGAGAAAGGAAGGAGGGAAGAAAGGCAATCTATAAATCAGGCTTAACGGGATCGGCCCGTTCCGAACGGGAATCTAAACAGTAAATGTGGGACTAAGAAACCACTGTTGATCGATAGTGTTTGCTAAGACTCTTCATCCTTTACCGTTTAGGTTCCCGTTCCCCTGCTGTTGTGCAGCAGGAATGTTTCTTGCATCATGGGCCATGATGACTTATCTAAGATGGGCACTTTCAAGGATTACAAACGATAAGGAAACAAACATTTTTATCGATCGATCGCAGAAGATTTTAGTAATTTAGTAATTATTTTATTTTAACTAACGAATTCCTGGCAAATTCCTGGCATTTGAACTCTCCTGGCAAAATCACTGGCAAGGAGCTTTATTCCTGGCAAAAGCCTGCTTTTTATGAACTCTGGCTTTAAACTTTTATGACAACTTTTAATTAAAGTATGTACGTCACACGTTTAATGGAATGGGCGGTTTATCGTTTGTAATAAAGTGTAATATTGGAGGGGGGGCTGGATCGTGCGTTATGGAACACCAAAGATTAAAAAATTTTAAATGTAGGAAAGTCGAAAATTAAAACTATTGCATATTGTTATGCCTATCTTGCATATTTTAGGTATTTTTATGTTGCATTTTATCCGGCTTTTAGTAATTAAACTGAATGAAAATTGTTTCAATGGTACAAATTTGTGACGTAAATAAAAAAATAATAAAAAAAATATTTAATATAATATACCTAGTCCTTTTTTTTAAACACAAAAAATTTAAATTTAAATTTGTTTCATAGGTTTAAGATCCTCTGCCACATGAAACTCACATCCAGTTGATATAATAATATCCTCTACATTTACATCATTTGCTATTTCTATTAAGGTTAATCCTTTTTCTGGGTCTACATTAAAAACAGACTTTTCGGTAATGATAGTATTAACACATTTTGTACCAGTTAATGGTAAAGTACAGTTTTCTAATATTTTATGACTACCATCTTTAGCAGTATGTTCCATACATATGATAACTTTTGTTCCAGGAGCAGATACTAGATCCATTGCACCTCCCATTCCTTTGACTAGTTTACCCTAAGATAAGATAAAATTAATTTTAAAAATACGACATGTTTAATAAACAGTTATTATAATAATATATAAATAAAATAATTTCTTACAGGTATCATCCAATTTGCCAAATCTCCATATCTAGACACTTCCATTGCTCCTAAAATAGTTAAATTCACATGCCCCCTAAAATTATTTCAAAATAAAATTAATTACAAATAGTATCATAAAAACCAAATCTAAAACTTCTTAGCCTATACAGAGTGTAGTGTACACACTTTACACTATCATAATTAAGTAAGAATCGCATGTGGAGGGAGACACAAAGCACCGTCGGAGTCACCGACTCGGTGAGGGGAGGCAGTTTACTGCGAGACGTTGAATAGATATGTACTACTAAGCTAGTCAAATCACACGGGTATCACATAAACACAATTCTTAACAGTGGCGACAAGATAAAAGGAAGAAAAAGTGTTAATGACCTGTTTTAGCAAAAAACGTGAAGATATTTTGCAAAGACAAGATGGCTGCCAGTGCAAAATTGTTTGAGTTCAATCAAGAAACGAATATGAAGAAAGATTGGAACAACATTTCAAAGCAAAATTCAATCATGGATGAATCTGTTAAACGAGGAGTATTGCCGAGTTATTTGGGATCAAATACGTATAAACTTGTAAGAGACTTATATTTTCCGAATAAACCTAAATAAAAATTTTATAATCCACGTCAAATGGAACATGAACCTGTTAGTGAATATTTTGCAAGGGTAAAAAGTGCCGCTTTGTCATGTGCATTCGGGACTGAGCTATTAAAGTGTCTCAGAGTCTCTGAGTCAGAAACCGCTTTGTCTGTAGTTTATCCTGTAGAAAAGTCCTGGATCGACTATGCGAAAAGAAAGATGCTGTTGTGGAGGATCTAGTAAAGTTGGCCATGAAAGTTCAAAACGTGGTCAAAACCGGAAATGTCAACGTCATCCCAGTTTCCAGCCAAATCAACGCAATGTTCAACCTAGCTAAAGGGGGCGCAGAGAGAATAACTATAAAAGAAACCAACAACAAAATGGTCTGACTAAAAACGGCAACGTGGTCAAGAATCGTCAGTTTAAACCGGGTAATAACCATCCAAAATGTAAACATTGCAATGCTAGTAATCAGAATTCTGAAAACTGTGGATTTAAAAATGCTAAATTTAATGTCTGTTATAAAGTTGGTAATATAGTTAGAGCTTGTTTAAAAAAAAAGGAACAATTTAAATTTTTTTGAAAATAATTATGAAGACATTTTTTATTTTAATATTACAAATACAGTAAATAACTCTCCAGTAAACGTTAAAATAAATATTATTTCTCTAAAAATTGTTATTTATACTGGCGCAGGAGTTAGTGCCCTGACTAGAAATACGTATTAAAAAATTTCTAAAATTTTAGGATAAGGGATGATAATACTCTCCTGAGGACATACGATGACTATTTTTTAACCAAATTGACAAATTTGTAAAGAACAAATAATAATATTTCTTTAAAAATTGTTATTGATACTGGCGCAGGAGTTGGTGCCCTGACTAGATATACGTATAAAATATGTCTCAAATTTTAGGATGATACTCTCCTGAGGGCATACGATGGGATTTTTTGTTAACCAAAATGACATCAGATTAGATTCTATTGTTAGATGTGAAGTACCAAAACTCCATTAAAGTCAGAATGTTTGTGGTGCAGAACGCATCGGTAAAAATTGAGATGGTTAAAGAAATTTCGGTTGCTAATGAAATTGACAAATTAATACAAAAATTTCCTACTGTTTTTACTAATAAATTAGGCAAATAACACTTACTAAAATTAAATTAAGGTTGAAAAATGAATTTAAACCAATTTTTAAAAAGTTAATGATGAGTTAGATAAGTAAGAGAGAGATGGTGTAATAGAACCTATAGATAATAGCGATTGGGCTACATCATTGGTTCTAATTTTAAAAAGTAACAATATTATAAAATTACTGTAAATAAATATCTAGAAGATGTTAAATATCCCTACCTAAAGTAGATGAAAAGGGAAAAGTTCTCGAAAATGGATCTACAATCAGCTTATATACAATTCTGTTAAGACGAAAAATCTAGTAAGTTATTGACATTGAACACAGAACGTGGTCTGTATAAAATTAAACGCATGCCTTTTGGTATTAATTGTGCGACAAGTATATTCCAGCGAGAAATGAAGAAATTATTCAAAAAAATGGATTATGTGGTTTTATTTGTAGATGATGTGGTAGTTTCAGGTAAAAATAACCAAGACCACTTGGAAAATTTAAACAAAGTGTTAACAAAACTAGAATAAGCCGAGCTGATAGTAAACCAAGAAGTTCTTTTTTTTTCAAGACGAAGTTAAGTATTTATGTAGGTCATAATATCAGCAAAAATGGTTTGAAGAAGACCAAGGAAAATATTAAAGCCATTGTGGGCGCACCCATTCCCACGAATATTTCAGAAACAATAACGTTTCTAGGTCTAGTAAATTACTATCAAAAATTTATACTCAACGCTGCGCCAATAGACCTATCCCATAAAACGGACTTTTGGATAGCGCGTGCGTGAAAAGGCACGTCGTCTTTTTTTAATTATATAAAAGAGAAAGAGATACCACTCTTCTTCAGGCACGCGCTATCCAAAAGTCTGTTTTATGGGATAGGTCTATTAACGATTTGTTAAAAAAGAACCCAACATTTCTGTGGTCCAAGGAATGTGACAGCTTTTACTGAAGTAAAAGAGAAGATAGCATCAGACAACTGCTTAGTGCATTTTAACCCACAGTTACCAATTATAGTAACAACAGACGCGTCAAACCAACAGTAATTTGTGTATCACGAACCTTGATGCCTAGTGAGAAAAATATGAGTACCTTAATGAAAGAAGCATTAGCTTTCACCATAAATAAGCTGTATCACTATCTTTGTTCAGTATCTTTTACATTGAGAACAGATAATAAAGCACTGATTACGCTTTTTGCTGAGAATAAAAGTATTCAAAGATGGGCTACTTTTCTTTTAACTTTTAAATATAAGATCGAGTACCTAAATATATCAAGGGATGCAAAAATACTGTCGCGGATTATATGTCAAGAGTTCCACTAAAAACAAATTTAACAGCAGAGGAAGTAACAGAACGAGCATCTTACATTTGTTTCACGGAATCAGTTGATTCCTGACCAATTGACAACGAAAAAATCAGATTAGCTGCTAAGAAAGATACATAAATTATGTCAAGAATTACAATGGGCCAACTTATTTAAAAGAGGAGCTATAAAATATCATTATATTCGAGGTGAATTGCATGTGGATAACAAAAACCTAATGTGGGGACATCGAATTTTCATTCCAAAAGTACTACGAAAAGAAATATTAAAACTGATACATGCGAATGATGTTTCTATAGGTGTATCGGTATGAATAGAACCCATAGTTGCGATTTATGGTTGTTCTATAGGGATATCCTTCCTTGATTTATTTGCTATTGGTCTCAATAGGAAAAATACACATAAATGTAGAAATTAGTTTTTCTCCCATAGGACCTGTTTTAACAAAATCTTGTAAAATGTTTTATGGTTACTCTATAGGGATATCCCTATATATCCTTTCTTGAGTTATTTGCTATCGGTCTCAATAGGGGAAATGTAGAAGTTATGGTGTACCTATAGGTAATTTCCTATAAATTTTCTATCGGGCCGTATTCGGAACATATTGAGTCCATTAGCGCCCGATAGATTATTTTTATGGGCCTCTATGGGGTATTTTAAGGAGGGTTATCAGTCATTAAGTAATAATTTAAATAAATTTTTTTAAAGTAATGAAATACGCCAGTAAATACCTCACAAAATGTTAAATTTCTTAATTCTGCTACTTCCACAAGGATTAAAACTGCCCTCTAAATTCTTAGTTTTTTTGTGGGAAATGAGTTTAGATTATTTTTTTAACATTTATCAGTGTAGTTGTTTAATGTTTGTTGTATCTATAAATGTTCATAAAAATGTATTAAGACTGTGATTATCTAGTCAATATATAAATTCGTAATTTAGTATAAGGACACAAAATATATATTTAATTTACTTATATTTGTTTTCAATTACATAATTGTTGCATGTTTTAAATGTTACAAAATTCCAATGTATTAATTTTGCGTAAAATTCAAGTAATTTTAAGAGTTAGCATGACACACACACACCTAATGGGTTTCTAGTTGGTTTAGATGTACAGTGTACAGTGTATACACATTTATAAATTATAATAATTAAGTAAAAGAAGCGCATGTGCAGGAAGACACAAAGGCTTTGTGACGGTGCTTTGTGACAAAGCACCGTCGGAGTTACCGACTCGGTGAGAGCAGTTTACTGCGAAACGTTGAATATACATGTACTACCTTAGTGTAAATGTACTTAATTTAATAGTCTTAATAAAGCTAGTCAAATCAAACGAGTATATTAATAATTAACATCACGTAAACACAATACATAACACAGAGAACGATTAAATTTTTACACACATAGCTGTTTGATGGTACTTACCCTCTTATCATGGCAAAACTTTCATCACTACTAAAATATGATGCTCCCTGAATTACAGTAACAGTTTCTTTTCCGGCATTTATCAGATCTGCATCAACACATTCAGCTTTAGGAAACGGTCCAAGACCCAAAACACCATTTTCAGATTGTAAAAAAACATTAATATCTTGAGGAATGTAATTAGAAGCTAACATTGGTAAGCCAATTCCAAGATTTACTAATTTTGTGTTCAGGATTAATTTTTTAAAAAATGGTCATTAAATTATACAGTCCAAAAGTCACGGACAGCAAAGTTCTTCTATTTTTTTTTTGCTAAAGCCTGCCTCTAATTAGACTATTTATTTAATAACGAATTAAGGAAACGTCAGATCAAAAAACTTCTCTGCGGTCCATGACTTTTGTCACACCCTGTATACATATGTACATTTAAATAGTTTGTTAGGCTGTAAATTGTATTATTAATATACCCATTATTCATATTAAATCACAAGTCGCCCTTGTGAAAATTTGTCTCTGAAAAGGTTTTAGAGAAAAATTTCAGAGAAACATGTCCACAACTGCGCTGAGTTTATAACATTAGGTATTATATGATATTAAATACAAATATTAAATCATTTAAAGGATACCGTACATTCCATCTTCAAATTCTAAAGCTGCTCTTCTTATAATTCTTTCTCTTTTTAAAGTGGCTGGATTTTTCTTTACAACTGAATCTTTACTACTACTATTTTCTTGAACTTTCACTTTCTAAAACAAAATTAGGATATTTTAGGGAGGGTGGTTTTTTAAATGTTAATAGATAAATAATATATTCTGTTACAAGTTTGGAATACGGCATATTTTAAGCAACGTCCATTTTATTTCTTAACTTTAATCAGTTGGCGAAATTCTACTTTGCCCATGGGGAAGTTAGCTTTAGTTAAGATTGAAAAAAAGTTAGTTTAAAACTGCTTATGTACAAAAAATATAATTGTTATAATTATTACAGGTTACATATGTTCAGGGTTGGCACGAATTAATTCATGTGAATTAAGTCACGAATTAATTCAATTCTTTCAAATTGTAGGTTATGTGCTCAAATTGTAAATATCTTAACTAATGGAAGTGCTTTTGGATTTATTTACACAAATTGAACGTTTAAAGTTTATCCTGTGAACCTAATCCTAATTTCATCTAAGTAAACAGAAAAAAAAAGATAAAAAAATTAATTTTGTGGTTATGGAGTTTTTAAAATAGGTACTAAATTTTCTAATCATTGCTTAAGCTAATAGCTGGATGGGTAAATAAATACAGAAGGTATTAGAGCTTTAAGGGCATAAAACTTTTGTATTTATAGTTTTTATTTATTTTTTGCAAGAAAAAGTTTTAGTAACAATTTTTTACAACTGTCAACGCAAAGCTACTTTATTGGTTGATATCTAACTATGTAAACATAACAAGTCTGTAACCAGTGGCGCATCACAAAAAAATATAAAGAACTTGTAATGCATATTTTTTCTTCATCTTTGGGAAAATATTTGTTCTACTCCTATTACGGAATTTGACCGTTCTAATATCATTTTTATCTATGGAATGACATATATTCCGTAAAGTGTTATAGAATGAAATATTCTATCATCGGATGACAGAATAACATATACTTACTGTGTGGTAAGTATATGCAGAATAAACACTCGTGGCGACATCTCTGTTTTTAATATCTTACAAATTTTAGACCGATCCAACCTCACTTTCTTCCAATTAAATTATTTTTCTATGGTATTTTTTGGAAACATAGAAAAAGTATAGTCTGAAACACGTTTGGAATTGCATATTCCGTTCTCGTGAAACCGTCAAACCTGCCTTCGGATCATGTGACAAACTCATCACTCGAGCGGAATATGCTGTATTCCAAACTTGTTACAGAATATACTACTTTTAAATATTTTATCTACTTCTACATTGACGAGCTGTGACTTTATGGCGTTTTAGTCGCGGTCTGAAGTTAGCAATAGTGGCTTTTGGGCATTTTAGTCACGGGCTGAAGTTAGCTTTATTATAAATTAGAGAAAAGTGAGGTTAATTCCGTTGACATTTGACAATGTCAAATGTTTAAAAAATAAAATTGGATTTAAATTCTTCTTTGTGGTCGTCGTAGATAAAGTATAGTATGCAACTCGTTTAATAAACTTATCTAGACACTCGTTTTTATTAAACACTCGTTTGCAAGCTTCGCTCGTGCTTAATGAAACTCGTAACTAAAATGCCGTTTATAAAACTTGATACATAATATACTATTTCCGTCACACCTTATGTCAAAAGGTATTCAGTATTTTAATATACAGGATGTTATGTAATTAATGTTATATATTAAAATAATGAATACCTTTTGGCATAAGGTGTAATGGAAAAATATTTTAAAAGATATTTTCCCAAAGATAAAGAAAATAGATGCATTAGAAGTTTTTTATATTTTTTGTGATACGCCACTGGTTACACACTTGTGTTCTGTGAGTACATAGATACAAACAAACAAAGTAGCTGCGCGTTGCCAGTTGTAAAAAATTGTTACTAAAAAATTTTGTTGCATAAAATAAATAAATACAAAAGTTTTAAGCCCTTAAAGTTCTAATACCATTCTGTATTTATTTACTCATCCAGCTATTAACTTAAGCAATGATAAGAAAAATTAGTATCTATTTAAAAACTCCATAAAATTAATTTTTTCATCGGTTTTTTTCTTTCTTTTTACTCAGATGAAATTAGGACAAGTTCACAGGTTAATCGTTAAACATTCAATTTGTGTAAATAAATCCAAACGCCCAAAAGCACTTTCCTTAGTTAAGATATTTAAAATTTGAGCACATAACCTACAATTTTTTGACAGAATGTGTTACCAACCAACATAATAAATTAAACCAGATTAACTTAAAGTAAAGTAAATCATTACGAATTATGAATAAAGTTTAAATCTGGTGTGTCTAAATTTAAATATATTTGTTATAAGTATGTTTTTAAATCACAATGTTAAAACGATTTTTAAAAAATCATTAGTAATTTTTACAAGGTCTAATTAGTGATCTAGCAATTTCAGGTTTTTATTTTTTTTTCAAGTTTTTTCAGGTTTTTATTCTTTTATAAATATTTGAAAGTTTGAAAATTTGTATTTTATTAGTATTAATAATAAGTACTTAATTAGTGCGAAAGATTTTATGCTATGGCGGGTCGGGCGCTCGCAAATATTCAATTAACAAATATGGTTTTGTGTTACGGGGAAGCGATGCAAAATGCTCGTCAAGCAAGAATTTTGTAGGTAGGTATATTCAAAATTATCACAACGCCAATCACGGACATCCACCGCCCTCGGAGCAAAGTTTTGTACGTACTGTGCAAAATTTAAGGGACCGCGGAAGATTTAGCGCATTTGTTGGTGATAGGGGTCGGGCTCAGGGACGTGAATTTGTGGCCCTTGAACCTACAAAAAGTTCAAGCTCTTCAGGATGGAGATTATGCACTGCGGTTGGAATTTTGCTATTGGTACCTATATACAGAAAAATCAAGAAGATGCTGATTGGAGCCATAGTGTTTTGTATACCGATGAGACTACATTTACGAGAGACGGGATTTGGGCAGCAACTCAGGAACTTAATTGTAAATAGTCCAGACATTTTTACGCGGGTGCGCGAAAGCATGCTTCGCAAAGTTTAAGCTTGCATTCTAAATAATGAAATAATTTTGAGCATCTCAAATAAGGTAATATATTTTTAATTTTACATTTGGCAACACTGCATTAAAAAGGTAAGGTAAGGTACTTTTTGGTAGGATAAAGGTTATTATAAATTATTTTTAGTCTTTGGAATTTAGAAAAAAAAAGTTTCAGGTGCTTCTTTATGGACCCTAAGGAACTACCCATTTTAATATATAACACCCTGTATTACATTAATTACATATATGTAGTATATGCATAACACCCTGTATAATTGTTTTTTTATAAATAAATCGGCGTTTTTATAGTTTAAGATTTTTAAAGAAAATAAAAACTCGTTTTTTTTTTGTTTTTTATGTTGTGTTTTAGTAAGCAAAAAAATATATTTATTTAAGTGAATTGATTAAAAAAAGTCTGACTTTTTGACTTTTTTATAAAATAACTTTAACTCGCTGTTAAAATATTTTAAGAAGGTAAATCACGTAAAACTGAACTCGAGAAATTCACGAATAATAAAATTTCCACCCACGCCAACTGCCAAGTATCTTGGCGTAGTATTCGACAGACACCTAACCTTCGCATCGCACATCAAATACATTATAGAAAAATATTACACCGCCCTTAAGGCCATATAACTGTCATGTATACATAATACTAGGCGACACTGTAAACCCCACCAAAATGCACCTACCACCCATGTTAGTCATTTTAAATAAATCTTTCTTTAACCTATCTCGTATAAATTACTTCATGGCGCAATTGGTAGAATTGCAGATTTGAAGTTTGAAGAGGCAATTTGAGAAAAAAATGTTACAAATTGAAAATTAATTCAACAAAATGCGCATTCCACCTATGATTTTTTTAAATAATGTTGCTGAAAACTGGAAGCTATGGAAGCAACGATTCCAAACTTACCTAAAAGCCACTGAAATTAACAAAAAGCATGAATCCACGCAATGTGCTCAACTTTTAAGCCTTATTGGTGAGTCAGGATTTCTTATCTTCAACTCATTTAAGTTTGAAGAAGCAGGAATAGACAAAATAGAGGTTCTAAAAGTTTGACGACCACTTCTCACCCAGATTATCAAACTTTAGAACAATACATCATAGAACTGAAAAACCTCTTATTAGCGTGTGAATTTGGGGATTTGAAGGATTCTCTAGATAAGGACGTACTCATTTGTGGCATTAAAAGTAAAAAAATCCGTGAAAAACTTCTTCAGGACGATGTAGCTAGCTTAGCCGAAGCCATCAGATATGCACTGAATATTGAGAATACGAGGCACATCAACATGGAAATCCACGGAAAACCAGCGATTGATTATCTGGAGAGGAGAAGACCTTCAACTTCACATCATAAACCAAGGAATGTATTGTCCCAGACTGCAATGAAGGTTCGAAAATATTCCAGGAATATTCCCTATCGCCTAGGAATAATCCGCTTCATTCTAGGAATATTCATTGGGAATATTCCTAGAATGATCCTCTAAATAATAATAATAATAAAATACTTTATTTTCATCCCAAGAAACATACAGTTTATAGAGGGACACCTCTAATCATACAATTTAATAAATATTTTTGAATTCTTAATACATTTCTTAAATCTAAATTAATTTTACTTTATTAATACATTTTAATTCTAAATAGGAACATATCATTTAAATATAATATCACAGAAAAAAGAAAAAATATCACGATATATCATTGTTTATTCAATAAAATTCGCCACACAAGACGACATATGCTTTTTAAATTTAAATCCTTTAAGTTCTTTTATATTGTTTGGTAATTTGTTATAAACAGATGCTCCCTTAAACAGTATAGAGTTTTTACCGAATTCTGAAAATACTCGAGGTAAATCCACATTTTCACTGATTCTGGTTGCATAATTATGCACATCTCTTCTATGAGAGAATTCAATACATGAGTGGCGTGATCCGTTTAAAACTTGATTTATAAAAATATTTACTTGATATGCATATATACTTTTTAATGACCTAATATTGCAATCCTTATAAAGATCAGCTGTAACAGTTGGATAGCGACTTTTAAGAGAATA